TAATATATTGTAAACATTTTCATATGGATCCCATGGCTTTTGTAAAAGTAACTGCTGCTTTGTGTACTTGAAAGTCATTTTGAGAGATCAGAGTAAGAGAAAAATGGTAAGATATTTCACAGATTTTTGTCACTGAGTTTAGCTTTTCATCAACAACTGCAGCAGCTAATTGTGAGTTAACTCCTTGTGACCTGACAGAGGGTATTCTTAGAGGAAAAACAATAAAGCAAAACACCAGAACTCAGACAACTAAGAACTTAGTTGCTCCTGGCATCGCCAGGGAAAACCCCACTCTTCCCCAGCCATACAGCAAGAGGCAGCTCCTCAAATACCCACCCAAAAAGCATATAAAACAGAAAAAAGGGAGACAACTGAAATATAGAGCCATGAGACAGGGACTCGCTGGTCCCCTGGGCAGGGGTGGGGTGAGGGTGGGGGGCTCCGTGCCCCCAGAACAGGCAGAGCCTCAGGCTGAAGGGGCATGCCTGGGCTAGTCTCCCCCATGCAGTCCTCAGCACTGCCTGGAGCATACCATGTGGGGCTCTGGCGACAATTTAAAAGGCCTGGGAATCCTCCCTGCCCCTGCTGCTACTATGGCAGTGGCTGGAGCCTGGGGCACTTTGGAATCCCGGCCCTGGGGCAGTTGCCTCCTTCTACCCGCTCCCCCCATGCCCCATTGGTGGGCCTGCCATGAGATGACATGTGCCTCTCTGACTCATGCAAATGTGCACTCTGGGGATCAGAAGAGTGTTACCAGTGATACAGAATCTCCCTGGCCCTTCCAAACCCCACCAAGAAGTAGCACGCTTTTCAGCTGACAGCAATGTATATTTTCATTTGCTCATCTATTAACTAACTTGGGGCGCATCTACACAGCAGGGCAAACGTGGAATTAAGCTACACAACTTCAGCTATGTCAATTGCATAGCTGAAGTACAAATAGCTCAATTCAGTTTTGTCGCTGTCTACACAGCAGGAAGTCAAAGGAAGAACTCTCTACCTTTGACTTCCCTTACTCCTCATGAAATAAGGGCTACAGGAGTCACAGTAAGAAGTCCTCCAGCTCGACATTATTTCGAAATAATGGCTTGCTGTGTAGACACGCATTTTGTTATTTCGAAATAATGTCAGTTATTCTAAAATAACGCTGCTGTGTAGTCTATGTCTAGGCTATGTCTACACTATGGCTACGTCTAGACTTCAAGCCTCTTTCAAAAGAGGCTTTTTTGAAAGATACTTTAGAAAAAGCTTCTTTTGAAAAAGAACATCTAGACTACAACCAGTACTTTTGAAAAAGCAAGCCGCTTTTTCAAAAGAGAGCACCCAGGCAGTCTGGATGCTCTCTTTCGAAAAAGGACAGTTTGCATTACATAGTGCCTTTTTTCAAAACAGCTTTGAAAAAAGGCATTATTCCCTGTAAAACGAGGTTTTCCGTGGTTGAAAAAACTGCTGCGTTCTTTCGATTTACTTTCGAAAGAATGTGGCAGCAGTCTAGACGCAGGAAAAGTTTTTTTGAAAAAAGGCCATTTTTCCGAAAAAAACCCTTTAGTCTAGACACACCCTACGTGTTTTGTCAGAAGAGGCAATGCAAATGAAGAGCTGATTAGCATTTTGTTGTGCTTCATTTGCATAATCTATTCCGATCCATTTTTGAGCAAGAGGGTTTTGCGCAAAAACATGCGGTGTGTACGTGTCCATTTTGTGCAAAACCCCCTTGTTGTGCTAGATCCTTATGCCTCTCCGGGAGGTAGAAGGGTTTTTGCGCAAGGGGTTTTTGTGCAAAACAGACACGTCTACACCGCATGTTTTTGCGCAAAACCCTCCTGGGCAAAAAAGGATCGGAATAGATTATGCAAATGAAGTGTGACAAAATACTAATCAGCGCTTCATTTGCATTGCCTCTTCCGACAAAACACGTAGTGCATACACACCCTTAGATTTATTTGCTAGTCCTGATAGAAAGAGGAAGAATAAGCACATATTAATAGCTTTCCTTCTGTTTTCTGTTCACCTCCTCCTGACCACCCTGTTTGGAAATTAAAATGCTGCTTCTCTCTCACCCAGAATAATTCCATTGGGTTCCTCTGGTGGCTGCCATACAATTCGTACTGATGTCAGTCTCACTTCAGGGAACACCAGCCTCACAGGTGGTCCCGGGGCTGAAAAGAACAACAGAAATCACATACATAGATATTATGTACCAAAGAAACTGCTAGTTCTGTGACAGCCACTTGTTTAAAGACTTCTCTGTCTGCTTTATACAGAAGCCAGGTCAAACAGTATCTGAGCAGCACTCCAGAGATGGTTATGGGCTTATGATGCTGGACATGCACACACTGGTTCTACGATGAGGTATTCTGTGAAAGATTGAGTGCCTCTTGCACCACAGAAGAGCAACTACGATGCGGCAACCACACAACCGTAGAATGTACTGCCCCTATAAAAGTGTGTTACAAGGGTGCTTTGACAAATGAGTTCTGCCCTATGTGAGAGTGATCTCATAACAGCATAGTTGGGAATCCCTGTGAGCCAATCAGATTACACACTTCATCTAAGTCACTACACAGTTCATTATATTCTAGGGTGTGAGGCACTAAGCTACCTTTACAGAGAGAGATAATGTGTCAGCTTAATCCCCCTTCATGCCTGTTGAAAATTGAATAATAACTAACTGCGCTGGCAGCCCTTGCTTTGAACTCCCTTCTGATTTTACATATACATTTTATATTCCTATGTCTAAGCCTGAGAATGCTTGTGAGGTCAGAAGACCATTAACCTGGCTTTTACCCAGGTTATCCATCTTAGGCTCACAAGGTGAGCTTATGTGAATTCAGAAATAAGCAGGCTCTGAAATTCTCTGTAAGCACAAATCCCACCTGCACTCTCACTGATGATACTTTTAATTAAATTGAACTGAAAGAAGACACAACATGTTTATGTTGGGAGTTTGGAGATGGAAGAACAATTTGTGTCATTTGCCAACATGTACTTTAGGAGGGAGCTTCTATAATGAGCTTGCCTTTCACAAATATCCTTAAACATTTCTCATTACATTCTGGTTTATGGAATTCAGTGAATGCACAGTCTCCCGGTAGAGTTTTGCTACAATAACCTCCTCTCTGCTTCGTCCCTTAGAAAAAGGCCATGCTACCACGCAGCTAGTGTGTTAGGAGAATAACTCAAGCAATGACTGGGGGTAATTGCGCTCTTCCTCTGTGCAAAGCACATCCTTAGTGCTTTGCTGTAGACTGCGGAAAATATTGTACTAAATCAGAAGTCTGAACATGTTCTCAGTCCAATGTAATTACTTCAGTAAAGTTGCCTACGGAAATCTACAGTTATTTAATTTCTGTTGGGAGCTTTAGATCCAAATGGATTTGGGATTTTATTTGTATTTATTAGGATGAATAAAAAAAAGTTTTAAACTGACACACTCTTTATACTTGCTCATATGCTACTAAAAATGCAGAGAAGATGGTAACCTTTAAGTGTTTGACATCTGTAAAGCCAAAAAAATATTATTACTGCTGATGTATACTTAGGTGAAAATACACCAGGAATGCTCTCACCATGCAGACAAGTTAAAACAAAAACAGGGGATGGCTCCTGTCCTTTCAGCACATCAAACTGCACAGAGTAATCTCTGTTTGTAGGAAGCATGGGGGACTACAAATGGTCATTTTTCAAAGGTCAATATCTTATTGACCAGAACAAGCAGGTAAATGACTGACAGACACATGAGATGGGTTTAAACAGCAGGCTGCAATTTTATTAATTATTCCTTGGGGGAGAGTCAGTATACTATCTGCCCCAGCTCTCATGTACCAGCCCTTTAATTAATTTCTTCCAGTGAGGGTTACAGGGCTTTTGTCACAAACAAAAAAATAACTTGGAATACTTTCTCCCTGGTCTACCCAGGGACCAGTGTTCCCTCTAGTTGTGCAGCAGCACAGCTTCATAGGTGATTAATCATCCCACCCTCCCCCAGACTGGGTGAGGCTGATTAATCACCTGTGAAGCTGTGCTGCTGTCCAGCTTGGAGGAAACATTGCCAGGAACTCTGTTCATTTGTGAAACCTCTTCACCCTGGTCCTCCGTGTAAGGAGGATGGAGTGACAAGAGGCCACAAAAAGGCATGAGAGGTGTACCTCTGTCCTCAAAGACTTCGAAGTTCCACTATTTCATGAGAGCAAGGTTCAGATGCACAATTCTGGAGGCCTTATTGACATCTGGAAGCTGGGTCTTCTCACCTTT